TGTTTTGTCATGTGGGCCAATCCGCTGGGCATGCTGATTTCCCAGAGACTGCACACTTCCCGATGCTAGCTGTTAGCGTTGGCACGTTGAGACTGCACTCCGTGCATCGACCTGGGCAAGCTGGGATTTCGCGGTATAGTTTTCAGAGGTGACGCGGTACTGTACAATTGCTTTCCAGGTTGAAGCCTCGGCCAGTCACGGCATTCAATACAACAAACCTTGGCGGGGCGAGAAAAAGGTCTTTCTTTCTGACTATGGATGGGGCGGCTCTGCGGAGTCTTCCGCGAGGCAATCAATGAGAAACCGAGTCACTCTTCGAAACTTCCATTAAGAACCCCCATAAGCTGCCTGAAACTGTTAGACGTAAATGGCCCTTGACCTGAATCCTGACCTAATGATCGGAAATTCTGACCCCGATATGATGCACATGAACATGTATGCGAATTCCTGTCTACGCAGAGTAAGTACGGAATGTGTCAAGCAGACAGCACGTTAGCGTGCTTTCGTGTCGTCTTTCTCCATTCTCGGCGCCAAACCTAGCACTAATACTCTGAATCCGATGGACACCAGGAGCGGTACATGCTGTCAGCGACACGGAGGTTTGCTTACCGAAAGCAACTGGAACCAGGAACCCTTTCAGATCGTATGCTCAGCCGCTCTGGAAAGGATTGGGGTTGAGGATGTAGAGTTTAGCATTCGTCCTTCCCAGCACGTGGATGACAGAGAAACGCTGCAACCATAAACCCTTCTTTTCTTGTGTTCAGCAGGGTTTTTTAGGCAAGGCTGTGTAAACCACTAGTCCATGAATCAAACCCTACACGTCATGGGCAGCCTTTGGGTTAATGTGCGTAGCTGGAGCTCTCATGACCGCGACGACGGGGATCATGCATGTAACGGGCAAGATCACGGCGATAATCACAGCGCTGCTGCCGATCCGGGCGATGATGATGAGCAGGAGAAGAAGAGGAGGTGGTGGTGGTGGTGGTCGTTGACGGTGATGATGTTCACCTTGATCGCCGGGGTTTAGAGCCCCGCATCTCCAGATACTGCCCGACATGCCCGCCTCGGACTCAAAACGCAAGTGTCACATGCGCACAAAACCTGGGAAACCCAGCGGCTTGCGCGGCATCCCGAACCCGTCCACAGGAAGCAACTCCATCCCCTGCTCAAGCTACAAGAGCCACATTGTTTGCCTGCTGCAGCCATCTGGACTTGGGCTTGCAGCGTCACTTCGCACAGCTGACCTGTTGAGCCTAGTTGCCTACTGTCTTGACTATCCTACTTCTGCCGACATGGTCTCAAGTGCGGCTCCTCTTTGTCACAAAGTCGGCTTTGCTTTGGTGACCAGTGTCTGTCCACAGCTACTGTTGTAGGCACGGAATACGGCAAAGGCAGGCTTTGAGCCCTAACCACCAGAAGCACGCATCTCTCAGCGAGGCAGGGGCAATGCAATGCTACTCCATCGCAAACGTTGCTGGCATTGCTGGTAATGACTCTACTTTTCCTGTCTGGTTTTGCTACTGGTGAATTTGTAAGCCAGGTTTGTACGTGTAGTACCCAGTGCCGCGCGTTTTTCCTTTCTGCAGTACGTGCGCAATGGGCGCCACTTGCTGCGGCTCCTGCATCATCCAGGCCGGGTTCCATTCAGGCACACATGTCCTTCTGCAATGCTTTCGAGATAAATCGTTCACCACACCCGCTGTACCCTCGCCCCTGCAAACCCTAAACCCGAAACGCGCAATGGCTAGGCGTTTTGAGGAACGTCTTGAGGGCATCAAGACTTAGGCCACTCGAGGCTCCAGGCAGCATGAGATTTGAAATTTGGCGTTTGGGCATCTCAAGCCTTCGAGCTAAGGGGTTTCGCTTGCGGAGCAGACGCCAGTGCTTTTCTATTGATCGCACCGTCCCCAGCATAGCATCCATTTCCCTGAAGCCCCAGTCGAAATCCGCGGATATGTAACTATAGGTGACAACATCAGATACTTTTCAGCTAAGACGACAGGAATTTAGGCCAGCGGACCAAGAGGAGCACGGCACTGGAGCACCCCCAAACAGCTTGGATTTTACAACGACTTCGGCCTCGGCAGACGGGGCCAGCACATCTTCGCAGGGAACATCCGCACGTGCCTGCCGCATGCACCTCGCGCCTTCCGTAGCGAAACCTAATGATTGATCTCATCGGCAGAATCCCGCAGTGATACTGCAGTGCTTGGGGCACAAAGGGGCAGCTATGAATTAGAATTTGGAGCCTGGAAGTATTTAAACTCCTGCATAGTGACTCCCACCCTGGGCCCTCAACCCTAATTCCATGAAAACCTCAAACCTGTCATAGGAGGAAGAGAGAGTGGCAAAGGAGACAGCTTTGGCAGAGGAGACTGCAAGGCAAGCAGAGGCCGAGCGGCTGCGCAAGGAGGAGGAAGAGAGAGTGGCAAAGGAGACAGCTTTAGCAGAGGAGGCCACGAGGCAAGCAGAGGCCGAGCGGCTGCACAAGGCGGAGGAAGAGAGGCTGGCAAAGGAGAAGGCGTTGGCCGAAGAGGCCGCGAGGCAAGCAGAGGCCGAGCGGCTGCGCAAGGAGGAGGAAGAGAGAGTGGCAAAGGAGACAGCTTTGGCAGAGGAGGCCACGCGGCAAGCAGAGGCCGAGCGGCTGCGCAAGGCGGAGGAAGAGAGAGCGTTGGCCGAAGAGGCCGCGAGGCAAGCAGAGGCCGAGCGGATGGCAGCAGAGCGTGCTGCCGCGAAAGAGGCCGCGCAAGCAGCCACTCAGCATGTTCTGCAATTGGCATCAGCAAATGCTCGTGCACATCTCCAAGCTGAAGCGGCCCGTGCCGCAGAAGCCGCACGCCGTGAGGAGGAGCAGAGAAGGGCAGCCGAGCGCAACTTGGCAAGAGAAGCTGCTAATAGCTTTTGCAGCCAAGTCGTGGAAGTCGCCAAACAGGCAGCAGACAAGCGCTTGCAGACCGATGCGGAAGCATCTCGCCAGAGCGAGGCTGAACGCTTGGCCAGAGAAGCAGCTTTGGCAGCAGAAGCAGCACGCAAAGCAGAAGCCGAGAGGCATGCAGCCGAGCGCGCTGTGGCCACAGAAGCATCGCACATTGCTTGTGAGCGAATCCTGGATGTGAGTCTTTCCAATGCCTCTGCGCATCTGCGAGCAGAAGCCGCGGCAGCTGCGGAGGTTGCACGCCAAGTGGAGGAAGAGAGAGTGGCAAGGGAGAAGGCTTTGGCCGAAGAGGCCGCGAGGCAAGCAGAGGCCGAACGCATGGCAGCAGCGCGTGCTGTCGCGAAAGAGGCCGCACAAGCAGCCGCTCGGTACGTTCTACATTTGGCATCAGCAATGGCGCCTGCACACCTGCAAGCTGAAGCGGCCAGTGCCGCAGAAGCCACACGCCGTGAGGAGGAGCAGAGAAGCGCTGCCGAGTGCCACCCGGCAAGAGAAGCTGCAGACAATCACTTGCAGACCGAGTCGGAAGCATCTCGCCAGCGCGAGGCTGAACGCTTGGCCAGAGAAGAAGCTTCGACAGCAGAAGCAGCACGCACAGCAGAAGCCGAGATGCATGCAGCCGAGCGTGCTGTTGCCACAGAAGCATCGCACATTGCTTGTGAGCGAATCCTGGATGTGAGCCTGTCCAATGCCTCCGCGCATCTCCGAGCAGAAGCCGCGGCAGCCGCAGAAGTTGAACGCCAAGTGGAGGAAGAGAGGCTAGCAAAGGAGAAAGCCTTGGCAGAGGAAGCCACGAGGCAAGCAGAAGCTGAGCGGCTGCGCAAGGAGGAGGAAGCGAGAGTGGCTAAGGAGAAGGCCTTGGCAGAACAAGCCGCAAGGTTGCAGCACTAACCCTCCTGCTAAGCCCATCGCACGGTAGCATACCTTTACGCGCATACATTTCCATATGTTTATTCGTTTGTCTGCAAATATTTGTGTATATATGTAGGTGTAGCTGTACATCGATGTCTTTGGACTCCTGAATAATTGCCGATATTATTGCTTGGAGTTCCTTTTTAGTTCATACTATCATGATGATTTAGTCGCAACTCTATTGCTATTCTAATATTACTGTGGCCCAAGAAAATACGCTTATAGTAGCCCTTCACTTACAGGAGCGCTGAGGGTTTAGGGGCTTCGAGTTTGAGGTTTTGGGATTCGGGGTTTAGGGGTGAATTAGGGTTTTGGGTTTGGGGTTTAGGGGCTTCGAGTTTGAGCGTTTAGGCTTTAGGGTTGAGTGTTTAGGGGGGAGTTAGGGTTTAGGATTTGGGGTTAAGGGGCTTCGAGTTTGAGAGTTTTGGGTTTGGGGGTATAGGGTTCGGGGTTTAGGGGTTAAGGATAGGGTTTAGGGTTCTGCTTGGCAGCACGCCTGTTTCGTGAATGCGCATCATGTATTTTAGGGTCTCGGGTGTCGGGTGCTTCCGTGTTACTCCAAAAACTGTTTATTGTGCAGCCGCTGCAAGGGCTAACGATGATAGTATACTGCACGAAAACAACCCCGAATTGACAAGCCCAGGCGCGGTCAGAGAAGAACAGAGCCCTGAGCCCCAAACCCTAAACCGAAAGAGCCAGGCGTTGGCTCTCAGGTTTGCTAGGTGTAGTTTCCCTTCGTGGTCCACCTTCTACCTGCTGACCAACCCAGCGCGGCAAGCAGTTACTGCCCGCAACGGCCGGAGTGCCACAGCTTTTCGCAGCTGCTCTTAACTGGGCCTGCGATCACAACTGCGCTTTTTCTTGAAGGAGTGGCGCCCTTCCCGGCTTCGCATGGGTGCGAGGCTTTTTATCTACATTTTGATCTGCTTCTTTGTCGAGGCGGACTTCGTGCACCACGCCGGTTCTGAGAGGACCGGAACCAGCCTGGCATCGCAGGGCCAGGAGAGAGCGAACCCGTTCCCGTACATTGCTTCGGCAACACGTGGGCGGGGTTTCAGCTGCAGATCCGACGAAAATCGAGACTGCAGCCTGGTGCCTACTTGGGCACCACTCGGGAGACCAACTCGCTTGTCAAGCTCTACGCGGACTGGCAATGGCGAGCACGGGTGCATGGAAATGTACATACTGCAAGATCATGGTAAAAAGCAGTGCCAACTACTGCCCCAACTGCGGCCAACACTGGCAGCAAACAGGGGAATGGCCTGCTCCACAGACGGGCTGGACGTACCAGAACCAAGCCCCGAAGTCGCCGAGGACGAAGTCGCCGAGGCAACGACCTTGGCACGGCAAAGGACAGCCGGCCAAAGGCAAGACCAAAGGACCCAAAGGGCCACCCGAGCCAAGCCCTCATGGAGTCCCAAGTACTTGGGCACCTACATTGCCTACGCCATGGCAACCTACTGCAGTACAAGCCACGACGGACGATGGCACGTTGCAGGGGCTGCTCCAGGCAGTGTATGGACACTTCCCGGGACAGACACTCCCACAGCCCATTGCCGATGCGGTGGCCAAGCTGGAGGCGGATACGGGCAGAAGGCTGACCAAAAGCCTGCATGCCCAAACCTCGCAACTTGGTGCTGCAAAGAAGAGCCTACAGGAGGTTCGAACAGCAAGAGTGAAGCACGAGAGCCAATGGGTGGATTTCCTCAATGGTACAGTGCAGGCGCTCGAGAAGGGGGCGAAGAAGTACCAGGAGACCATGGATGCTTTTGCTACACAAGAGGAAGAGGCCAAGACGAAGCTGACTGCAGCGCGCCAGGCCATTCGGGACCTTGCTACGGAGAAGGCGGACAAGCCAGATGCGACTGCCATGGAAGAGGACGACTCAGACTTGGAGCTCATGACGGACCTCAATGTACTGCCGGGCCCATCGGAGTCCCACGAACCCAAGGTCGCTCAAGCCCAGAAAAAGCTCCGGGTCACCTTGGATACGATCTTTGCCAAACTACCCTCAGCCGAGGTAGAAACGCCACGGAGGCGCTCCCGGGACAAGGACGGCGCGGATGGAGCCTTGCCTCAAACGGGCGAGACCCAAAACCCTGACAAGGCCGCAGTTTCAGTGTCGTGAGACCTTTTGAGCCCCCCCAGGAGGCGGGACCAACTGCAAACGAGTGGCCGACACACGCTTTCTGGCATTCTGTGATGCTGGAGCCCGACTTTTTGTCGGAACAGGAAGCAATTGATACAGCGACACACTGGCACTACTGTGTTGACCTACTAGACGACTCAGACGAGCTTGCTCACCTTGCCAGCTTGCAGGGCGAGCGAGCCTTCCGAGCTCGCTGGTTCGGGACAGACATGGATGGAACGGAGCACGCAGAGGACACGGTCAGGGGCACGGAAAACACCCAACCGCTACCAGCGCGCATGGACAATAAGCGTTCGGAGGCGGCGGGGTTGCCAGTACGGCCCAACCGGAGTTCTCTCGTCGCTTCCTCTGCGAATGGACGAAAGCAGTGCCATGTTGTCAGCTTCTTGCTTCCACCTGAGACTGTGTACATATCGTATGACTGTACAGGGGGTTTCGACACGCCCGGAGATTCCTTCCCGGCGGTGATTTCCTTTCCACCAGGGCCGTGCCTTTCCACAGTTCCTCTTGACCCCATGCCAACTACAGCCCCAGCGACCCGCCGTGCAAGACAGCCCTCCATGCTGTCCCACACCCTGGCCGCCCAAGTGCAAATCCTCCCTACCACAATCACAGGTCCGTTGCCATACATGCCCCTGGATCAACTCCGCGCTGTATGTGCTGTTCCTGAGACAGGGGAGGCAGGCATGTATACGCTCTACGAGCTGAGGCAAAATGTCATCAGCAGGGCCTCCAATCCGGACTGGACACTGGCTGATTACCTTGCTGATGCTGTTTCTGCTGTGCACTATGTTATCCGTACTGGCCATTTCTTGCAGCGGCCTCTGGTCAACCTCAGGATGCCACAGCTTGCTATCACACCAGTCTGGGCGCCTCCAGGTCAGACTGCCATTCCTGTTGATTTGCGTAATCAGGGAGGACAGATTTGCACGGTGCTTGTGAGCCAACATGACACAGCCTCGAAAATCGCTGGATTGGTCTCTGCACAAGGCTGCCCCTATGAAGGCACACTTCAAGATCGTATCCTGCAGGGCTCACTGTACATGTATGATGCATCTGGGCAAATCGTCGAACGGATTCGGCAGCCCATCGAGGAACATGATTGGCTCTACTTTGACATAGAGCACCTGCCTGACCCACAGCATGCAGAGCACCCTGAGACCCTTGATCAAACTGATGCCAGTGTGCTTCTGCAATCCCCGGTTGCCCCCCTTTGGTTTAGGCCTGAGGGTTATAGGAGGGATCCCCTAAGAGCTGTTACGAGTGACCATGCTTTCGCAAAAGCCGAGCCCTGTGTGACACCTTTTGGGAACCCCATCCAATGGAGCCCAGTTGTCCATTGCCCTACACCGACAATAGGGGATGGGTTGACTGACTGTATAGCCGGCAGTCCTAGTCGAAAGCCGGTGAACGGGCCAGAGGATGTCAGGCTGCCCGGTACTAATACCACGCTACTCGGCCCCACAGGACCAGCTGCGTCCAACGAACCCACCACAGCGCAGCTTCTCGCGGCAGAAAATGTGCATGTGTATCCAGCCGCATTTCGTGACTGGAAGTACTTCACCCAGCCAGTCTCGACATTCCGATGGGGCACCAATGCACATAGGGGGGCCCACTCCTACACAGTATTTGACCATGTTCGGCATGTCACGGTCGAAGCCTGCTTTTCCGGTGTCGACCTGGAAAGCGTGGTCGCCTTAGCTGTTGCAAGAGCACCATTTGCCGTTTACAGCCTGATGATACTCACTGCCCCGCTTGCAGGTCTGCCTAGGCCACAGATCGTCATTGCAGAGGAGCCCCGACGACCAGGAGAGTTCCCAGTGCCCTGGGATATCCGACCGCTGGGCCTTCAGATCCGTACCATTCGGCACTTCCCTGAACAGCCCACTAGCGATGCCATTAGGGAGCTTCAGACACAACTTGCGCCAGGCACAGACCTTGACGGCCTCTGGCGTACCTCACACATCCATATCGCTGACTCGTTGGGCCCCCTCACGGCAAGACTCCCCATAGACCTCAATGACGTGCAACACTTCAGTGTCTTCAGGGTACTAGGTGAGGAGCTACAGATGCATACGATGGGAGCCCCCATCTTTGTCGGCGGCACGGGAGCCCAAGCTACCACTGCCACCACCACAGGCACCTATGTTCAGGGCAATGCTCGGGCACCGCCATGCATCCGACTCACCGTATTTCGACGGGATCAGTCTGCAAGCATTGACGTGCCACACCCATATCATACATTCGATGAAGCACTTGCCAGGCTGCTCTACCATTTTGCGGCACAAGCGGCGTTTACTGCAGCCTCCACGGTCACGATGGCCAGAGCACTGCCGCCGGCTCTCGGATATCTCCAAGAGGTGGTGCTCCTTATCAGTGACTCATCCTCCACTGTCCCCTACCTGTGGGACGCCAGAAATGTTGGTGGGGCTCTATCCGCCCAATGCACTGCCCCGTTCACCCCCACGGAGTTTGTGATTTCCCAGGAGTGGAGGGACCAGAATTGGATCACTGCAGTCAACGGGGTCCCTGTTTTCTATGCAAGTAGGAACACAGAGGCAGGAGACTTCCTGCAGCCATATCAGGATGGCAGCCAGCCGCCCTGTACACCTCAAGGCATTGTTTTGGATCTGATCCCAGCCTTGGGAATGTTCACATGGCCCTTCAGACTTTCTCATTTTCGGCGCATGTACCTACCCAGACTACGAGATAGACGATGGAGGCTGGGTCTCAATTTTATTGAGACACAAGCACACCTTGTAATAGGCCCCCAGCATGGTGATCTTCGCATATTTGCCCCCGAAGGCAGACCACTGGACCATGCTGAAATTATTTCCTACCTCAACCGGCTTGATAGCCCGCCTCCCTGGGAAGACATCGTGCCCACTGAAGCGGGGGATAGTCGCAGGCCTATCTTTGTCACTGCTGTCCGCAACTCGGGCCTCCGCACAATCCTCCTGCCCGCGCCTGGATTCAATGGACATTGGCTTTCGCTGTTGATCTCTTCGGCAACCCGAGCCATCACTGGCGTCCCGGCTACTGCCAGCACTGTGTTCTACCCCTGTGATCGCCTGCAACACGGGGATGTCCTATACCCTGGACGTGAAACTTTCCCGCCTATTCCAGGATCCAGTGACATAGAGGCAGAGGCGGCTACACAGGCTTTTCCCCGCGATCCGGCCGACACCACCAGCGAGGCTGCTACTCGTGACCTCCCAGATCCGGACCAAGATGAGGATCAGCCCATGGAAGATGCAGTCGCTCTTCTACAAACTCGTAAGACCGTTGTCCACCAGGCGGGATTGCAAAGCGCGCAACCGTGCCTCCATCTGTCGGTCGAAGGCGGTTCCACGTCGATCCTTCCCGACCTCCAAGCCCGCGGTTCGCAACCATGCAAAGATGCAGCCCGCAGCGACCCCGGCAGCCCATCCGCGAAGTGTGTGCTTGCACCTCCGTTCTCCATACCCACACCGTTTGGCAGAAGGGCACTCCCTCGTGTCAAGGCGTTGGGGTGCAACTCCCTGGCTCAGGGTCCCAACGTCGCGACGCGGCCTGCTGAGCCACCACTGCCACCACTGCCCGCACAAACTGCTCGCAATGATCCCCAGTCAGTCTCGGCCGAGAGTTGCCCTGTAGTGTCCAGCCCTGGGCCGACGGATTTGCCGAAGCCCTGTGTGCTCAGCCTTGAACAACTCATTGAGCTCTCCCCACAATCAGGACATTGCTGATGCAACCTTTGTGGACCATGCCATCACGTGTATCGCTACTACACCCAGCACCTTTGACGTTCCAGCTTGTGATACCACGCGGCACTGGATGGCTCTCCCTTGTTGGGATCCCACGCAGCCCTGTGATGAGCTGTTCCTCTTTACGGACGGTTCTTTCTTTCCTGAGGGCACGGGCTCCACATGGGCGATCACCATCGTCGCGCGGCAAGGTGTACATGCAGTGCGCGTTGGAGTCTGCGCTGGAAAAACCCGCGGAGCCGAACATGCATGCCACGGCTTCTGCCGTCCGGATTCTGCTTTTGATGGCGAGCTTGAGGCGATCTTGCACGCCCTCTGTGTTGCAGCTGCCAACCGTTGTACCAAGGTACATATTGGTAGTGACTGCCAGGCGGCCATAGATGTGGCCAAAGGTCTGTGTGCCACCGAGGAAGGGGATCGGCTTGCTAGAGCCACAATCAGTGTCCGCGCCTATCTGGCAATGTGTGGCACGCAGCTCTTTTTCCACAAAATCGAGGCACACTCCGGCTGTGCCCTCAATGATTTATCGGACCTCACCGCCAAGGCGGTTGGCAGACATGGCCCGCCGGCCGACCTTGAGCTCACCTTTGACTCGCTGTGGACGGCTATCCAGGAGCAGGTGATTGATTTGCTATGGCTTGTCCCGTGCCACCCCTGCACTGCAGCCAGTCTCCCCCCACTCCAGCCCAGTGGGGTCTGGACCACTGCTAATTGTGCTGCAGCAAATGCGACTCCATGCCGCCCCTTTTGCATGGCCGCCCGGCCAAGAAAGACCCGCCCAACCGAAGTGTGCTGGAATGTCCTGCAGTACAATGCACTCTCCTTGAAAGCCCCGGGTGCCATGGACCTGCTTGAAAAAGGTCTTCGTAAGGCACGGGTCGACATAGCAGGCCTGCAAGAGACACGTCTCCCCAAGGACGGTATCTCCACGGTTGGAACGTATTGGGTGCTAAGCGGGTCGTGCACCAGTACCGGCCAAGGTGGCACTCAAATATGGGTGAGACAGTCCGAGGCATGGGACCCGAAAGCCTTCTCAATACTGCACTGTGAGCCGCAAATCCTTGTTGACCGTGATGCCCGAGTCCTCCTCGTCTCGGCCCACTCCGTCACAGCGACCATGCCTCCGGAACAGATCCAGGACTGGTGGCAGCATCTGGGGGTTGTGCTCCACCGTACCCCAACCAATTGCCTCCCGATCCTGTTTCTGGATGCCAATGCAACTTTCCAGCGACACTTCGAGGCTGCATCCACTACTGCTGCGACCCCAGTGTGCCATAATGCTCGACAGCTTGCCCAGCTTACACGCGAGCGACACCTGTCACTTACACCGCAGACCTATTCCTCCGGTGAACCAGTGGTGACCTGGATCAGTCCGACTGGGGCGAACAAGGCTATTGATTACATAGCTTTCCCTGAGGAATGGCAGGATCACTGCCGCCTACTCCCGTCCCCACGGCTGGGGGACCTGTACGAAGACTTTGACCACCAGCCCCTCCTTTTGCGAATTGAGGTCACTGTGGACCTTGCACCTGTCGATAGCCCACGGCACCTTGACCCGCGCCTATGGCAGGATGCTCGCATTGACAACATTGTGACAATGGCTGCTCTCACATGCCCTCCTGTGTCCTGGCCCGCCCAAGGCACAACCCATGTCAACCACCTGCAACAACATCTGTTTGAGCAGATTGCACAGGCCTCTCCATGCATACCGCCCAGGCCAAGAAATCCATCCCTTACGGAGCCTACGCTCGCCCTTGTCCGGCAGCATAGACATCTACGCAGGTGCACACGGCGAGCCAGCTCAACAGCCGACAAGGCCTACTTACAGCTCTGCCTGCATGCCTGGGCATACAAGACCAAGACCGACGCACGCCTTCTTCGTGCCGATAAGTTCGCTAGGGTTGCTGCGGCTAGGGGATGGGCTGTCCAGTACCATATAGGCAAGCAGCTCCGAGCGGCATTGTGGTCCGACCGTGCCGACTTCACGAGACGAATGATTGCACAGGCACGGGATGCAGGGCCTGCGGCTTTCTCGTTCCAACTCAGGGCCATTCTCCGGACTGGCCGACGTTATAAGCCACCCGCTCTGCTTCCTTCCCTCACTGATGCACCCGACCGTCCTTACGGCCGCCAGGAAACAGCTGACAGTTTCGGACGATTTTTCGCTCTGGCCGAGCGGGCTACCGAGCACCCCGTTGAACATGTCTTCCCTACCGACACCCAGGTTAGGGCGACTGAGGGCCCCCTAGATGGTCGCAACATACCCTCCTTGGCGGCGCTAGCAGCGGGGTTTGCAGCACTCAAGAAGGGACGTGCCCCGGGAATCTCTGGTCTCCGACCCGAGGTTTTCAGAACGGATCCCCTGCTCTTCGCGATGCAGTACTTTCCAATTGTGTGCAAGCTGTACCTCCGTGACCCGGCCCCCGGCCAATGGTCCGGAGGCATTGCCGTGGCGGTGCCCAAGCCGAATAAGTCGCAAACGGCTCATAACGGATTTAGATCCATTGTGCTCTTGGAATGCGACAACAAAGCATGCAAACGGTCCCACCGACACCATCTGCTTAGTTTGCTCCCCACCTTGGGCACTGCAGACCAGTTCGGAGGAAGACCCGGGGTGCCACTCAGTCACCCGGCGGCATACGTCAAAGCCCACCTCCTGCATCTTCGCCGCACTGGGGCTTCAGGAGCGGTGTTGTTCATTGACGCTACAGCTGCCTACTACACTATCACCAGAGACTTCCTGTCTCTCACCGAGAGCCAACGCCATGACACCGCATTCCTCCACCGCCGTGCGGCTATGCTATTCACCGAGGCCGACCTGCAGGAGCGATTCATCCGAATGGCACGCGAAAATCGCTCCGCTGAGGCACTCAGTCACCTCCCTGAGCTGCAGATTTTCGTGCAGAAGCAATTAGAGCTCACGTGGTACGTGAGCCGTCCCGATGCGGAACAGGCTTTCGTGGCGGGAAGTGGAACTGTGCCAGGGGCACCACTTGCCGACGTACTCTTCTCGCTCATATTCGGGGGCATCCTCCAACGGACCCGTGAATTCCTACTTTCCCTGGGATATCAGGCCCATCTAACGAGGGCTGACCCCACCAGGCCCGGATACACGCCGACCTGGGCGGATGACGTGAGCATCTTGTTGCAGACTGCCTCCGCCGACCAGGTCAGCGCTGCGATCTCGCAGACAATGACCTTCTTCACAGAGGAGTTGTTTGCTGCCGGAATGAGCGCCAACCATGGCCTCGGAAAAACCGAGGCACTGGTGGCATTGCACGGAGCAGGTTCCCGACAGGTGCGCCGTGAACTGCTCGCAGACCAGGAGCCTCGGGTCGCATTCTCCACTCGCCGCGGTACGGCACACATCAGGCTTGTCCAGACGTACCCCTACTTGGGGTCCCTGATACAAGCCGACTGCCAGGCTCTCCCAGATGTCTTACACCGCAAAAGCCTCGCTCGCGAGATCTACCGCCCAGTCAAAGCGAGAATTCTGAGAAACCCGGCGCTGGGCTTCTACGAAAAACAGTCGGTACTCAGAACACGGATCCTCTCGCGATTCCTCCACGGCGCCAGTCTGTGGACGCTCCGCACCACCAAGGAGGCTGAGACAGTGGACGAAGTAATCTACAGCTACTATAGGGGTGCTTTCAAGCCGATGACCGGCATCTCAAGTCAGGGCTTCTCCAATCTCGAAGTTGCAAGCATCCTCGAACTACCGCTCCCTACCGAGCTCCTGCATGTTGAGCGGACCCGCGCGATTTGTCAGCTCGTACGGGCTCAGCATCTTGAAGTCCTGCGGGAGCTCGAGCAAGACCGATGTTGGTGGTCCGATGCCTGTAGAGCCCTCAGGGCGGTGGGTCTCCATGAGGACCCGGAGGAGACTCTCGAAGCCATTACAGTGTCGGCCTCGGTGACCAACACCAAAGTCCGGGCGGCTTGCAGATGCTACCTCACCACAGCCGTCCAAGGCCGCCTGGTCGACCGAACTGCCCTCAAGCCACGCGACCCATGTGACAGCGTCGCTGTGGTTGCTGCCCGTAGTGAGTCTTTGCCTTGGGTCTGCGATGTCTGCCCATGTGCATTTGCCACCCATAAGGCGTTGGGGGCACATAAGGCCCACCGGCACGGCATCAGAGCACTTCATGCGCTCTGTGCCGTGGGCACACGGTGTGAGGTGTGTTGTGTTGAATTCTGGTCTAGGGCTCGCCTCTCACAGCACCTTAAGACCCCGCAACCTCTACGACCATGCAGATGTGCGGGACACCCCCGCCAAACATGAAACAGGGGTTCATGCCTGGAAACCCAGCATGGTCTCCGAAGGGCCTCGACCTTGGTGGACCACGTTGTCCCCAGCCTCACCTGGCTGAGCCTAGTGTACGCTGCCCCAAGCCACAATTTTTCCAACAAGCGTGGCGCTTTCAGCCCGCTTGCTCGGCACGCCAGTAAGCTGCGTTTTTGCCGATGCATGGTGAATTGATCTTGCGCGACACGCACAGTTGAGCCCGTGAAAAAAACCGAAAGAGCCCTACAGCCGATTCTTGTACGGTTAAGACAAGCGAGTGGCCTGAATGCTGAACGCGCAACAGAAATCTAGCTTGTGGTGTTGCCACCTAAACCCTGTAAAAGCCCTGAGGCCTCGACCGCGAGCCCCCTCCCGAAGGCCCACATAGGGGCTTAAATAATAGCCTACATACACTATTTTGGGGGGGTTCCCTGAGATAATACTAGTATAATGGGCCCCCAAAACCTATTCTCATTATTGCGGCGCCTATATTAAACCCGATACCTGAACCTTGAACCTGATGCCCCCATCCCTATTTGTCTAAATTAGGGTACCCTTATAAAAAGGCCCTTGAAAGGGACCCTGGTTTAGAGAAATACCCAAATCTTAAACCCTGAACCCGGACTTGAGGCTGGTTCGAAGAGCGCACCCCGCCTGTTGGGCCGCGAGCGGCACCTTGGTCCAGATCAGGTCCCGAGCACCGTTACACGTGAGACTTTCGAATCTTGCAAAATCATGCTCATGAATTCGTATGAAATGCACTCATGGAAAACATAGGGGTTGAAGAACCGGGTTGAAGATTGGATAGCAGATATGGTGGGAAAACATGAAAGCATGAGCAATGTGAGCAGGAGGGGGGCACGGGGACAGGGGTGTCAGGGTGGGCGAGGCGGAATCAGATCATAGGACAGAAGGAAAGTGTGTAAACACCACGAACATTGTGAAAACATACAAAAAGGCATGGAAACAATATGCTTGATAATGTGGCAAATGGCTGCTTGCATGTTTGATTTTGAGGAGCTTCGGATTTGTCTGGCCGAACTGAGACCAGGACCACACATCCACAGCCTAACCATGTATCTAACTCAGATTTCGCAGCATATCTGTTTCTGAAAACGAAATAGGGAGCCAATTCAAAACAACGTGAACCGACCCAGAGCCATGCACAGCCATATTTTGCCAATGCTTGTCAGTTTTGTTCATTTGCAAACCACATTTCTTTCCTATCTACTTCATAATAAACACATGGGGAATCGTGGTTTTGCAAGACCAAAAGGCTCACCATTAAGCTAAAAGTTGCTTGGAGTGTGTGTTTTGTGATACAAGCAAGTAGTCATAGTCTGTGCAGCTGCGGATGTGCACATGCCGAGATACAGTACACACACATTCGTATGTTTCAATGTACATAGCCATCCAAAATCCTAAATCCAAACTTCCATGCTGCACTGCACAGCAAGGCACTGTAACCCATGCAGAGAAAGTCATTGCAATGCATGCATACAGACTGCGCATAAGCAGCCAATACATGCATTGCCTAATGTGAGCCTTGCATTACATCGTGGTGCACTTACACACTCATACTTACACACACATACAAGCATACACACGTACATATGTACGTACATACGAAAGTACGGACAGACAGAAATGTAGAAACATGCGCATACGCACGCATATACATATTGAGTTTTATATAAAAAGCACTTACATATACATACACACATGGGCCCCTATACATACACGCCAGCATACATGTGCCGACATGCATATGCCCATATGCATATGCGTATACATGTAGTTGCATATACATACACAGACGCAGGCACAGACACATGGGTATACATATATATATATATATATGTCTGCAGATAGATTCATACATACATACATATCTACGTATACCCACACACTCATATGTATGCATACATTCATGTGTATGTACGTATTACAGACACGCTTATTTGTCTTTAGGTATAGATACAAACATACGCGCATGCATGCAACAAAAGTTCATATACATGCATACATACGTGCCTGCATGCATACATGCATATATATATATATATAATTCATATCTATACCTATATATATATATATATGTATATATATATATACATATATATATATTCATATCTATACCTACATCTACATATATCCACATATTGCATACGTGCATAGCTCATTCATTCAAACGCTGTTTCAATCATCCATTCGTTCATTCATAAATTCTTTCATTTGTTCCATCAGCCTTTCACTTTTCATGCATTCGCACACTCGTACATTCATGTCATATCGTATCCTGCATGCAGCTTTACCGTCACACATATGTACCGACATGCCAACCAACCTACCTACCTGACTACCTGCGGCCTACCTACCTACCGACCTACCGACCTACCGACCTACCTACCTCCCCACCTTTACTTACGTTTTATACGTACCATACCTACCTACCTACCTAACACCTGCCGGCCTACCTACCTACCGACCCACCTACGAGTCTCCTTGAGTCGTGCCAGTCGAGGTTTGCGGCCGGCCAGAAAGATGCCTCTGCTAACCATGATCCCGGATCTTCGCGGGCAGACGCTTGGTTTGCTTTGGGAGCTTGGGATCGGGATCAAACAAGGTGGTTACCGTGTAAGTAGGTTTTTTGCCTGTCTTTCTGCCGCATTTTTGTTGCATAGGGCAGGCTCCAACTTGAAGGCTTAGGCGTTTTTGGGGCTGTAGGTTTGAAGTGTAAACGCTAGCCAAGAAGACACCCGCATTAATGATGCCTCCCCCCGAAGTCGGCTGGGGTTTTGACCGCTGTGCAGTTTCACTTGGACTTGGCCTTGCGTTTTTGGACACTCCAGGCTGCCAAGCAGACCAAGAAGGCTGCAAAGGCCTGCCGGGCAGATTCTTCTTCAACTCGCGTGATTACAGGACCAGTCATCCATAGAAAGCTGCACCCCCTCACGGGCGATGTTCTTTCTTGCACATGTGTCCTGTTCACAGTGTGTGCCTTGTGAATGTAGAATGTCGACTTGTGGCTCAGTCATGATGATGGTGTTGACGGTGGTGGTGAGGGTGGGAATAGCGATGACGGCGAGGGCGACGGTGATGGTTTTGAAGACGCTGATACTGCTCATGATAGAGATGGTGATCCCAGTTACTGCTACTGTAACAGCTCTTGCTACTTCTGCCGCTGCTGTTTCTGCTGTTCCTTAGCCATGCCCGATTGAAGCAGCAGAATGAAAGCGGTTGCTACAATTCACTTCTTCAACCGAGCAGGGGAACCAAGCTTTTCAGATTATCGAGACCAAGCGCGTGCAATGATTGTGATGTCAACGGGTTAGACAATTTCTCACAGATCCAGACTTTCAGGTACGACAACATGGAAGGCATCTTCTCGTATAAAATCCTGATTGTAGCAACCACGACAGCAAACGCTGGTCTTCTCGTTTAAAGCCAAAAAGATGCTTCCTCGGATGTAGGCTCGAAAGGTTATTGCCAAATCTCACCAACGGGGGTGGGTGACTGGGGAATCTCGGAACCCGAAGGTCCTCGTGCAGTCATTTCCTTCTTGTTGCAACTGCTGGAATGTTTCGTGTCCTTGCCGTCCCCGTCACCCTCATCAAAAGCTTTTGAGCATGGTCACTTTTGGTTTTCCTTCATTATTGCTCTGATTCTTTGCGGGGTTGTCAGACAGCCATGCAAAGTGTTGAAGCTCATCCGTGACCAGGCACGGCAGCTCATGCGCGACCAGGCACGGCATCTACATTGGAATGACCGGACTTGCAGGAATAAGCGGTACGCAGCATGGTGCATGGTAGCAGAAGCACTGCAGCCGCTGAAAAGGCCGCAATGGTGATCAGCTCGGGTTCAGGGTTGCTCTGGATTCCAAGCCGCCGAAAGCACAATGCTAGAAGCTGGATTTGTAGCTTGTCGCTGTGAAGCTCCAAATACACAAGCTCAGAGCCAAGCCCAAAGCAAGTTTGAACTTCACCCCCAAGCAAAGGCAAAAAGTCCTGCACCCCCTCGAAGGTTTTGGGAGTAGGCTTGAATCAAGATGCCAAAGACCTTCACGCATCGAACCTTGACAATCTGTGGAGCCTACCCGAACTGTGGAACAGCTTCGTGGTAATGCCCGAAGAAGTTCACATAATTCTCTCTCTCTCCAGCGTTGATTCCGTTGGTATGCTGCAGCCAGCCGAGCCAGAAACACTTGGACACATCTTTTAAGAGTCTATGCAGCGACCGTCAGCCTTCGGTGCCTAAACTCTGCAGCATCCAAGCAGCCAGATGGAGCCAACCGTCATCTTCGTGGAGTCCCTGTTCCAGGGGCTCGCCGAGGCATGGCTTCAGCTTCGACGGGGTTAGGGGTTGATTGGGAAACTGCTCCTTATGTCTGCCTTTCCCCTCCGGAACTGCGATGTTTGGATCAGTCGGGGTCCGATTGACGCAGCTAATCTCTGCTGAGAGGCACCTGCCTCGGCCGAGCAGCGCGCTGCTGCTCTGAAGGTCGGGCGCCAGGCCTGGTAGTCGACTGATCGAAAGGAGCTGTCAGGATTTCAGATCGTGTTGGTTCAGATTTTATGTTTGTAGGGCTTATGGAGGTGGCGTTCTAGAATTTAGAGCTTTAATGGGGGGTGTATTTGTTGTCTTGCGGTTTTTCGCTGGCAGTGGTTCCGTTCTGCAGAGGTTAGAAGTGATGTCAAGACAGTTCCCGGGTTAAAGGGCAACGCGTGTCACCGTTCCGGGTTCAGAATTTCAAATCGGAGGGGTCGTAGACTCAGCCTGGCCTTTCCATCCCTTGCAGGACTCGAAACAGGATGAGACCCACTGCTTCTTGCCGACTTGCCGCGTCTTTTGCCAGTTTTCCGGAGAATGCAAATCCGTAATGTTGAGCCTTGAAGCAGAAGCCATGATACCGGAATCTGGAAGCCCAAGCCCCATTAAAGTTGGAGAAGCTAAGCCGAGATTGCGGAAAGTTGCCCTCATGTCCTGCTCCGACAGGCGGGCGATGCCTTGCTCTCAAAGCAGAGCGAGGCTCGGCTCCCACTATGGGCTATTTAAGGGTACCTTAATCTGCCCTTAATAGGGTCCTAATAGGGATCTTTAGGGCTCCTCGGGGTTCACAGGGGTTCATGTTTACGGCCATGTTTGCCAATTTCCGCGTAATTATGCATGTTCTAATCCGTTTTGTCGTGCGCATG